AAATTTCGAATGTAATTATACCATAGCATTCAAATAGATTGCTAGCATCGTCATAGACACGTCTGACTTCATTAAATGTAGGAACGTCTAGTCTGGAATGGAATAAGTCTAATCCTTTCATCGTCTTTTTATCTAATGGCGGTGCCTTGCCAGAGAAGAAAATCTTCCAGATGGTTGAAACTTGGGGCTCGTAGAAATATTCTGTCACAGGTTTTTTTATAAGTTCATTCCAGGGATGTGATCAGTTCTTGCACCTCCTTCAAAGAAAAAGTAGAAGAGGCTTGAATAGAGGTTGCATATCCAAGCAATAATAATAAGTGGGATATTTCCATTATTTTTATGTGAATAATGAAAATAATTCACAAAGACCTAAAGTTTTAACCAATGTTTCAACAAGATCTTTTATGGTATAATTGTATTTTTTCAAAATTCTCTAGGTTCTGACAACACTTCAGTCAGTCTAAAAAGTTTTGAAAAATACTCCACAAAGACCTCATTTTTTGAAAATTACTATAGCTGTTATACTTATGTACTGAACTGTTCAGATATCTCTACACTATAATAACACTGTTGAAAATAAGAGTAAATATCTGTAAAACTTTACAAAATCATATTAAGAAATACCTTAAAAACATTATTACTAGTATTTTTTATTTCAGTATTATCCTGTTTTGAATTCTTTTATATCTCTAGACTTATTGTAAATTCCCTTATAAACTTATACATAAAACAGAACAAGCCACCTATATTATATCTTGTCGAACTTCTATACAAATTGAACCTGGCAAAATAGGCATTTATTTTAACAGACTCAAATTTTGTTGTTGTTTTCATTGCTTCACAGGGATCAAATCCTTTGCAAGAATTTTTATATACTTCACATAAAGCTTCCTAAACAGTATTACATTAGTTAAACAGAGATTAATCCCTGAATCTTGTCAGTGTTACCTGTGTTAGTGCAGCCTCGTTACATATCTCCTCAATGAAGCCCCGGCTGATTTTGGGCGTTACCCTGGTCTGTCCCTGCTACCCTGTGCTTTTTACCTTTCTTTTAGCTCGCACTACATATCTATGGAATGTCTTTGTGTGCTACCATCTCATTTCTGCAAACAGAAACAAATACCAGTAAATATTAAAATAACATCACAATAGGCTTTTATGTTAATTTTACCCTTACTACGCTGAGTATGTGAAACGGGGCTTTGCTTGTAATATGAAATGTGAGTTTAAGGGACTTTGATATTAAAATATTACGAACAAGTCATATCAAGAATCGTTAGTTAGCACACACACTTCAGGGTTGAAATATCATTATTATAACTCACTAACTTTCCTCCATAATCAATCAAAAACCCACTGCCCAAAAATATGGATACCATGTATGATGTATTAAATAATAAAGACATTTTTAACCTTTTTAGACACATGACTGAGCAAAAGTTAACTGACAAGATCATGTGACAATTGATATTTTTTTTTAATGACATATAAGAGTAATTAACTGCTGCCAATCTTTATGCCAAATTATTAGGTGATTACCTCCCTTGTACCACACATAATACCAGTTATTAGCATTTTCAAAAAATGCTTGGAAATCGCAGTTCAGCCACAAAATATTAGAAATGATATTAAACCACAAATATTAGAAATGAGATTTTCATTTTCTTGCCTAATACCTTTATTGTATGTGGTCAACACATAAAGCTTAACAAAAAATACTTATTTACTCTTCCACTCACGTACTTGTCATGTACTAAGCTAGATTCTGAGATATATTTTGTTCTGGGTCAGAATCTGCTACACATTAAAGTTGATGTATTCATGCATTCTATAATATACATGTATGCTGACCAGCATTTTGTTTTAATGATCTTAAGAGTGATCACACCTCTACAATTCCTGCATACAAAGCCAAATTCAATGCACTGCCATTTAGTCAAAATACTATAATGCATGTGTACCGTATATATTGACAAAAAGAATGGACTAATATTGGAGTTGGGAGGTATACGCATGTTTCGATAAACCAACTTGCCTCCGGTCCACTCAATATAGTTGAATAACAAATAGCTTTATATATTGTCTATGTAACATTACAACTTTACAGCAAGTTTAATTTTTTTTGCATACAGAAGTTACTTACATTAGATATTGACTTCATACACTTACTTAAAATACAAATTTTTCAGGAAAGTAATGCCATATATTTTAAAGTAACAAGTATTAAAATATTTTGCAAATTTTTTTAAAAAAAATTGTGTTTTCAATTCAAATCAATTAAAATTCATAAAAAGAAAAAACAGTGAAATCAGTTTATTACTACTATGCAGTAACTTATTAAAAGTATTCTAATGTTATCTAATAATAGAATGAAAGCTGGGGTTTTTCCACTTTATAGAAAAATAGATCTTTTGTATCACACCAATCATTAAAAAAACGTCTCCTTGCAATGTAGCCTTAATTTTTCATATTCTATGGATATTTATAAAAACATATTTAAATGATCAATCTTGGCTGTTTTATACAATCCTAATCATTTATCAATGCCACATTTAAGTGTCATCATTAATTAGTCCTTCATAAAGAATTTTGCACCCCTTCTTAAATAAAAAATAAAGAGGGGGGATGGGAGAGGGGTTGGCGCTGGGTAGTAGAAATGTGGTTTGGGTATTAAGCCCTTTAAATGTGCCGCCTCTTTAAGTCCTGGAAAGTATGATAATGGTTCCTATCAGGCTGTAACTTTCCCTGTTTGTGGCACCTTATAAATTATAACCAATGAATTTAGCCGTTAAATTACACCCTCCAATAGAAATTATTATTGATTCAAATCTTTTTCAATTTTAGCCTCAGTTCTTTTCCAGAGTCCAAAGAGTGCATATCAAATACATAGTGTACCCCATATATAAAATATAGCATATCAGACTCCATCATCTAGCCTCTTTTCAATTTTAGAGTCCAAAAATCCATATCAAATCCTTTTTGTACTTTAAGTAACAAAGTTCTGTCAAAATGTTAAAAATGGGTCAAAGACAGAAAAGGCCGGGTTGCATATGTATACAAAATATCATGAGGCTGTGATGTTACGAAAAAAAATTTCCATTGACCCATTAATGTCGAAAATTTAATTCAGTAGGTAAACAGGAAATGGATTAGCTACACACCTAAAATCGAATCCCACAGTATGGGACCATGTGTCAATGCTGTATGCCAAATATCAAGAGGCTGTGATTAGTAGTTTCTGAGAAAAATGTTACGAAAATTTCCTACTATTGACCATTAATGTGAACAGGAAGTGGATGAGCTGCAGACTTGAAATCTAATCCTACAGTATGGGACCATGTGTCAATGCTGCATGCCAAATATCAAGAGGCTGTGATAAGTAGTTGCTGAGAAAACTGTTACGAAAATTTCCTACCATTGACCATTAATGTCAAACAAGATTGCATTTGTAAAAAATGCCATGCCACCGCATAAATACCACACTAAATAGTAATGTAAGAACACGTTTTTTTTGGTTTCTATACAGATTGCCATAATGCATAGATCACTTACCTATCTGTTATTATCAGATTAGTACCTTCAGACAATAAGATTTTTAATTTTTTACTTTATGACATAGTGACTGAAAATCAATGATCCCCAGGGGCGGGGCCAATTTTGACCCCAGGGCTTTAATTTGAATAATCTTGCTAGAGGTTCACTACACAATGTTTAATGCAAAATGTCTCACCTCTAGCCTTTGTCAATTCAAGAAGATGATTTTTTAAAGTTTTTACTATATACATGTAAGGAAAACCTATGACCCACCGGGCGGGGCTAGTTTTGACAGTAGAGGCAAAATTTGAACAACTTTGGTGGAGTACCTAATTAGATGATATACCAAATATCAAAGCTCTAAGCCTTGTACCTTCAGACAATAAGATTTTTTAATTTTTAACTATATGTACATAGTGAAAATCAATGAACCCCGGGGGTGGAGCCAATTTTGACCCCAGGGCTATATTTTGTACAATCTGCTAAAGGTTCACTACACAATGTTTCATGCAAATTATCTAACCTGAGATCTAGCCTTTGTCAATTTTGAGAAGATGATTTTTTAAAGTTTTCACTATATACATATGAGGAAAACCTATGACCCCAAGGGCGGGGCTAGTTTTGACACTAGAGGCAAAATTTGAACAACTTTGGTAGACTACCAATAGATGATATCATATAACAAATATTAAAGCTCTAAGGCTTGTACCTTCAGACAATCAGATTTTTTGATTTTTTACTATATGTACATATTGAAAATCAATGACCCCCGGGCAGGGCCAATTTTGACCCCAGGGCTATAATTTGTACAATCTTGCTAAAGGTTCACTACACAATGTTTCATGCAAAAATTTCTAACCTCTAGCCTTTGTGAATTTAGAGAAGATGATTTTTGAAGTTTTTACAATATACATATAAGAAAAACCTACAATGACCCCCCAGGGTGGGGCTGACTTTGACACTAGAGGCAAACTTTAAACAACTTTGGTAGGGTACCTATAGATAATAACACATACCAAATATCAAACCTCTAAGCCTGGTACCTTCAGACAAGAAGGTATTTTAAGTTTTTACTATACGTACATATAGTGAAAATCAATGACCCCGGGGCGGGGCCAATTTTGACCCCAGGGCTATAATTTGAACAATCTTGGTAGAGGTCTACCAGACAATGCCTTATGCAAAATATCTAAGCTATAGGCCTTTTGGGTCTTTACAAGAAGATTTTTAAAATTTATTCTTATAATTACTTTTGGTTGCCATGGCAACCAGATTTCTGCATGGAATGAAATTCTTTGAACAACTTTGGAAGCCCTTCACCCAAGGATCAATCTGGCCAAGTTTGGTTTAAATTGGACTAGTGGTTTTTCACAAGAAGATTTTTTAAGTTCACTATATAATCTATATAACACACACACACACAAACAAACACACACACACACAGGTGAATCGCTATATGCCACCGCATCGCAGATGCTGCGGTGGCATAAAAAATCTAACTTATTTAACTAAGTGAATAAACAGGAAGTGGATGAGCGACAGACCTGAAATCAAATCCCACGGTATGGGACAATGTGTCAATGCTGTATGCCAAATATCAAGAGACTGTGATAAGTAGTTGCTGAGAAAACTGTTACGAAAATTTCCTACCATTGACCATTAATGTAAAAAAATCTAACTAATTTAACTAAGTGGATAAACAGGAAATGGATGAGCGACAGACCTGAAATCAAATCCCACAGTATGGGACCATGTGTCAATGCTGTATGCTAAATATCAAGAGGCTGTGATAAGTAGTTGCTGAGAAAACTGTTACGAAAATTTCCTACCATTGACTATTAATGTCAAAAAATCTAACTAATCTAACTAAGTGGATTAACAGGAAGTGGATGAGCGACAGACCTGAAATCAAATCCCACAGTATGGGACCATGTGTCAATGCTGTATGCCAAATATCAAGAGGCTGTGATAAGTAGTTGCTGAGAAAACTGTTACGAAAATTTCCTACCATTGACCATTAATGTAAAAAAATCTAACTAATTTAACTAAGTGGATAAACAGGAAGTGGATGAGCGACATACCTGAAATAAAATCCCACGGTATGGGACAATGTGTCAATGCTGTATGCCAAATATCAAGAGACTGTGATAAGTAGTTGCTGAGAAAACTGTTACGAAAATTTCCTACCATTGACCATTAATGTTGAAAAATCTAACTAATTTAACTAAGTGGATAAACAGGAAGTGGATGAGCGACAGACCTGAAATCAAATCCCACAGTATGGGACCATGTGTCAATGCTGTATGCTAAATATCAAGAGGCTGTGATAAGTAGTTGCTGAGAAAACTGTTACGAAAGTTTTTTTTCCCCGCCCGCCCGCCGCCCGGACGCCCGCCCGCCCGCCCGCCGCCCAACATTCACCATACTATAACCCGGATTTGCACCAGTGCAACCCGGCCAAAAATGATGGAGTGAAATAAAAAAGGTCATTGCAAGACCTTTACTCAACTAGCAAGCAATTTGTCTAATATAGAAAAAAGTTTTGTCTTTTTTACAAAAAGCATGTGTG